AGATGTTGAGAGATAGTTACTGTGTGTTGATTGCTGTCTAAACTAAATCCATTTTTTGATAAAGATGCTAACAGAGAGATGGATATTAAGCAAGAACTCACTGGACTGATTCCACCTCAGACCTCCCACTAGGGTGACCAGATGTCCCAATTTTATAGGGACAGTCCCGGTTTTTGGGTCTTTTTCTTATATAGACTCCTATTACCACCCACCCCCTGTCCCGATTTGTCACATTTGCCGTCTGGTCACCCTACCTCCCACAGAATTAGCACCTAGCTATATATAGGGGCATTTTGGAGTCAATTTATTTTACCATGGCTACAAAAGACACACATTTCTGTTTACAGAGGGTCCATGAAAACTCAATCTCTGCTTTATGAACTATTAAATAAAGAAATGTAACTTTCTGTGCTCAGATGTTTCAGCTCCCCTTAGGCCAGAGACAGTGGGGTAAATATTTTCTGTAGATATGCAGCTCTGTTCATATAAATGAGAATTATGCATCTAAACTCCTGTGCATTGTGCTAGATATTTAAGAAAATGGATTTAGAAATAATTTCATCTTGGGTTAAGTTACAATTAGCACTAAATAAAAATTATTCAGGACTAACAGCAAATTGGTAAAGGCTTTGTGTCCAGACATCTGTCAAGAGTGCAAGAACTACTATGTGTGTGATTCTAATAAGGATCTAAAGTTGAGTCATTCTTTTTCTGACCTACAATGCAATGTTAACAATTCTCACTATTTTGTCATGAGTCTCACGATACTAGCTGTTCTTCCAAGCTCCTGGGAATATGCAAGAATCTCAGTTTTCATTTAGAAAAATAAAGACATTTCCAGCTCCCTTAGTTGGGGGGAAAAAGCTGGAAAACATGAACCCTAATTGCTCCAAGTCCAGAAGGCAATTTAAAAGACCTCAAAGTTGTTATTTAAAATCTCATGGTTTTTAAGCCAGTTCATGATTATTTGAGGGCTTGTCTCAGGGCTGGTCTACACGGAGGGGGAGGGGGGTCGATATAAGATACGCAACTTCAGCTACGGGAATAGCGTAGCTGAAGTCGACATATCTTATTTCGACTTACCTCGGGTCCTCACGGCACGGGATCAATGGCCGCGGCTCCCCCGTCGACTTCGCTACCACCGCTCACCCTGGTGGAGTTCCGGAGTCGACGGGAGCACGTTCGGGGATCAATATATCGCGTCTAGACGAGACGCGATATATCGATCCCCGATAGATCGATTACTACCTGCCGATTCGGCGGGTAGTCTGGACGTACCCTCAGTGGTTGTGGTTAGCAATACTGCTGCATGTTCAAATTGTGAGGAAGCCCTCTGCCATGCTTTAGCAATACCTCCGGCTGATTGGGAAACTGGTGTTAACAAACTCCAAAGTATTGTGGAATCTTCCACTGAAAAAATTGTCAAGTATGACATGAGTTCTTTTTAGAATGGAGAAGTGAAGGGGAGAAATAGGGAGACTCCATGAGTGTCTAAGGGGAGACCAGCAAACATGTTTGTACACATATGTTCCGAACACATGGAAGATATTTTCCCCTTTTTGGTGCACATACTGTCCCTTGGAACTGACATCTCATCTGACATGGTGCATGGACATGCTGGTGTAAGTGGTGGGCATTTTGTTTAGCATTGACATAGTGAATAGCCGGTGCATGGTCATTTTTCCTTCCTTCCTCTCTCTGTTGTTAACTGGGTAATTCAATTAATTTCAACAGTAACTTACCCAGAACTGCATGAATGTCCCACAGAGCTTGTCTGCAACAAAGACAGCCATGCATTTGCCCTTCCTTATGATTTTTCATTATTTCTGTGTCTGCCTAGAAGTCTTTCTGACTCCTAGAAAAATATCAGACTAGATCATTGTGCTGTCTTCTTTTTTCTTTTTAAATCACATTAATACTGCTTTTGCGCTGACAGATATTAGGCCTTTTAGAAAGCACCATTTCACCTTTATCTCAGCTACCTACTGTGTTAGCAGCCCTGACTGCTTATTTATGACCTGCTGACTACTGCTCTCTGCTCCAGTATTAGTATCTTTTATAGCCCAGATCTTGTTATAAGAGTGTCATGGTTTTTCCCTTTCCTGCCCTCTGCCTAAAATTTCATGTGAGTGGCAGTCTAGAGAATGGCAGTATTCAACTAGTCATTCCTGTCCCTCCCATTATCTGGGCCTGATTCTCATTTACACCAAGACCCCTTGGCACCACTGTGGTGTTTAAAGAATACCACTTTGACCCCTTTACACAGCCAGAGCAGTATTAAAGAGCCTCAGTGTAAGTGAGAATCGGGCCCTTTTGTTCTCGCTATTGCCAGTTACAGCTGCACTTCTGACCTCTTTCAGGGCTCAGACCTTTACCTCTCCTGGAGTGAAATGCTAGTTTTCCTGTTCTAATACCAGGCCCTGGGCTACAGAATCTGTGGATTAACTGTTCTTACCCACCCGAGGTCCAGCTGAACTGGGGTACCTGCAGTTCCTCTCAGTCTGTGATCAGTGGTGAACAGGGATAGTACAGCCTTCTTGAAACAAAAGTGTTGTTTATTTTAACAAACAACAGTCTTGGGAGACAGACCAGTCCTCGCTTACAGACAGCCCCCCAACCTGAAGCAAATACTCACCAGCAACCGCACACCATACAACATAAACACTAACCCAGGAACCTCTTCTTGTAACAAAGCCCGATGCCAACTCTGTCCACATATCTATTCAAGTGACACCATCATAGGACCTAACTACATTGGCCACGCCATCAGGAGCTCGTTCACCTGCATATCTACCAACGTGATATATGCCATCATGTGCCAGCAATGCCCCTCTGCCATGTACATTGGCCAAACCGGACAGTCTCTACGCAAAAGAATAAATGGACACAAATCTGACATCAGGAATCATAACATTCAAAAATCAGTGGGAGAACACTTCAACCTCTCTAACCACACAGTGACAGACTTGAAGGTGGCAGTTTTGTAACAAAAAAACTTCAAAAACAGACTCCAAAGAGAGACTGCTGAACTTGAATTAATATGCTAATTAGATACAATTAACTTAGGTCTAAACAGAGACTGGGAATGGTTGGGTCATTACACTAATTGAATCTATTTCCCCATGTTAAGTATCCTCACACCTTCTATGGGTCATCTCGATTATCACTTTAAAGGATTTTTTTTCTCCTGCTGATGATAGCTCATCTCAATTGATTGGCCTCTTACAGTTGGTATGGCTACTTCCACCTTTTCATGTTCTCTGTATGTATAAATATCTTCTTCCTGTGTGTTCCATTGTATGCAGCTGAAGAAGTGAGCTGTAGCCCACGAAAGCTTATGCTCAAATAAATTTGTTAGTCTCTAAGGTGCCACAAGTACTCCTGTTCTTTTTGCGGATGCAGACTAACACGGCTGCTACTCTGAAACCTTTATTTTAACAGTGGAACAAAGCATTTAAAACAAAAGTATTTTAAAACATGTCTTTCTGACCTAAAGGGTTCCCATCCACTGATGGTAACCTAGGCAGGCCAGTATGTTACTGTGTCTGAGTCTGGTTCCCCAAAACAACTACTCCCCAATCTCAATGAATTCCCAGGATTTACTCCTCTGGTTCAGACCAGTCCTGTAGGCTCAGTAGGAGATCAAGCCAGAGTCCTTAGGGCCAGTAGTTCTGGCATTGTCTCTTAACAACTCTTAAGTGTTTTCTGAGAAGTGGCTTATCTTAAGCCATTGTGTCCCTTCCTGCTTGTGTTTTTCCCGACAGTCTCCTTTTAAACTAAACTCACATATTCATACACTAAACGTCCCAATAACCAGGTCAACATACAGTGTTCATAAGTTATTACAGAACAGCTCCAAATCCATCACACTAGTATGTCCCTTAATATGATTTGAATGTAATTTATTTATATAGTTGGTTTATTTCCTTTTGCTTTTGAAGAGAGAGAGAGGCATTATGCCTGGTTCTCACCAGCATTTTTAATCTGTCACGTTCATGAGCACTGAAATGCATTCTCATGGGACAGAAGTATTCTCCTGGCGTGAAATTTTACATTGCCAAGTTCCAGCTTTGAGCAAATATATGCACCACTGAAAATTGTTCATGACAGAAATGCTGACAGAGATCATCAACTGACTATCATGGTGCTAACACACACTAATGTAATTTTATTTCAGAGCATTTTTATTAAAAGTCCTTACCTGTGTTGTTAGTACTACTGATCATGCAAACCTTTGCTTTTGAGAGTAATCCATTCAAGGGAACAACTTGCATGAGCAACTACTATTTGTGTGAATAGGGGTTTACAGGATTGGGGACTAGATTATTAAAAACTATTTAAAAAAATCAAATGTTCTTGCTACTATTTGTGTTGATTGTTTACTTTTTATAAGACCCTTATTTTGGAAATTGAAACAATTTCCCTTCTTTGACCCTTTTCTAGCACAGTTTTCTGTAGTATGTTGGTTGCAAAAGCTTCAGACAAATGTTAAATTTGAAATAAATTTTCATCAGTATTTGTGGAAACATTTCAATTCATACAACCTGCAAACTCAACCTGGGATTGGAATATCAAACAGGGCTATTTCTTTCCAACACATTGTTGTTAATAATAATGTTTCTGCAAGCTAAATGATGTATTTAGTGTCACCTGTACAACCCCATTTAAATTGTGCCTGTCAGTTATACCTCATTGTCTCAGATTCTGCCCTCAGAATACCAGTAAAACTCCTGATCTTCAGATATGCCTTTATTTGCTCCTGTACAACCCCTTTGCCTGTAGGCAGAATCTGGTGTACATTATCCTTATTAGTGATCATAAGGCCTAAGAAGAATTGATTTTTACTTCCCAGGCTGAATTTGCGGGCAGTTGGGGCGGGGGGCTGAATTCTGTACTTGTAAACTGATCAAATTAACAGAATATTACTACGAGAAGCTTTACGCATAACCTTGTCATTTGTAGTTACCTATTAACCATATATTGGTATTCTCTTTAATCAGGCCACAGATAAGTGAAGAGCTCAAAGAACTGATTGTAAGGATGCTGGATAAAAATCCAGAAACGAGGATAACGGTTCCTGAGATTAAGGTAAATTCGTCATGAATGTTATATTTATTTGGAATTGTTTCATATAGTTTCAGTTGGTTTCATATTTCTTATATTACTTGTGACACAACTTACCAGCATTTCTGTTTTGGGGATATATCAATCAGCATAGCTCAAAGGGTGAGTATATTCACTTTGCTCCATATTTGTATGACTTAAAATCACTCTGATGCTGTTTATTTCTGAGAATATTAATAAAAGGGGATTTTTAATTAAAATTGTTCAAAATCTGGATAAAACACTGATAGCATTTCCCACAAACACTTGTGTAGATTGAAACCTTGCTTTTTTACTGAGATTGCTAACTCCAGTGATCAAACCTGTTTCCTCTAGCAGACATAGATGTGTGTTGCAGTGACTGTGAAGCTGAATACCATACGTGTATGTACCTGTTGTTCATACCATGCTGGCTGTTGTTACAAATGGAGGAATGGGATCAAGGCATGTAGCATCCATTTCTGTCAACATTACCTTGGTCATTGTTCTGCAAAGCTCATGAATCCAGAGCAACGAACACCCTCTGATAGAGAAAGATGCTCCAGGCTGCTCTGTATATTTTGTTTTAGGACTGATACCATGTTCTGCTATCATTAGTCACTGAGAAGTCTCACCTATTTGAAAAGAGTCAGAGGGCTTGTCTACACTGGCACTTTACAGCACTGCAACTTTCTCGCTCAGGGGTGTGAAAAAGAAAAATCCTGCACGCAGCAAGTTTCAGCGCTGTAAAGCACCAGTATAGAGAGTGCCCCAGCGCTGGGAGCCGCGCCCCTCGCGGAGGTGGATTTTTTACTCTCCCAGCGCCGCACTGCGACCACACAGCCACGATAAAGCACTGCCGCGGCAGCATTTTAGCGTTGCCAGTGTAGACTAGCCCAGAGAAACTGAAGTTGAACAAAGCAGGGGTGGGGGTGGATTGACTGTATCTACCCTCTCCTAATTTGCATCTCTGATGTATCACTCTTGTTATTCACAGTTATTTAGGTCTAATTGTTTTGCAAACTCAGTTTGGAACTGCTATTAACAAAAAAAAAATATCAAGGAAATTATATGGGGGATACATAAGGAAATTGCTGTTTCTGAACCATGTTGGTGCACGGAATACACATGTCTCCTAATTGAAATGCTCACACGACTCAGGTATTCCATACTTTTAATAAAAATGATTTCATTTAGGGTTGACTGTGGTGTTTTGCCTCTGAAGAGGGTTGTTATAAGCATGAATAATCATCTTTGGAATACACAATTTAATTAAGTGCCATAAAGAAGCTCTTTGCTGAGCTCTTGAAAAATGCTCTGGACACCTGCACTAAACTCCTTTTAAAGTTTGTAGGCAGTGAACATCAGTCTTACTGAATGCTGTGGACTAGTCCCAAGGAGGTAGGCAGGTATTTTTTAAAAGGATGCTGTTCTGATTAACATCCATAGGGGCCAGCCCTTGGACAAATCCATTGATATCAAAGAGCCCCACTCTAGTACTGTTTGTTTATACTTGAAACCCCTTGTATTATGCAGCACATTAGACCAAAATTATGCACAGGCCTCCCATGCCCTGAACTGATTTACATGGCATTATGGGACAATGCTAATTAATTACAAGATAATCTAATAAGCCATGTGGTTATTAAACTAGAGGGGCAGGGAGCAGCACAAGAAGGTGAAGTGTTCTCTTGGGAGGGAAAGTGGGAGGCCTGCTGGAAAATGCAGGTACATCTGAGGCTCCTAAACCACCTAGGAGCCACTCCTGTGGCGTTTAATTATATGGGAAAGAAGACACGTCCTCCAAAAAGCTTCTTCCTGCTCCCTCGCAGTCGTCTGAACAGCAGGAAGGTGGTAGGAGGGTGACCATGTTTTTTTACTGATGTGGTATGAACATCAGTCTGTGTGGCATCTAGGCAAAAAAGGTAAGTTGTGTGGGCAATTGCACAGCCATGTAACCACATCGTGTATAGGGGCCTCTCCGTGACCCTGAAACGTCACATTAGTGATAGGCCAAAATGTTCAGACTTGGGTACCATATTATATGTTTACCTAGGTGGCCTGATTTCCAGAGATACTGAGCGTTTGCAGCAGCATCTAAAGTCACTAGTTGCTGAATGCTCAGCACTTCAGAAAATCAAGCCACTTGTTTAGGTGCCTAAATTTAGGCACCCAAGTTTGAAAACACATTATGACACTTTTCCTGGGCCTGCGTTGTTAAAGTGTCTATGTATGTGAGAAAGAGTTGCTGTTGATGACTGGGATTTTCATAGGTTTTGACTGAATTCAGTGGAAATTGAGTGCCTAAGTCTTTTAGCCCGTTTGAAAATGCCAGCCAATGACAGTTGGTGCTGATGGTCTGTTATGGTCTTATGGTCTCTGAAGAGACACTATGCACAGTCGCTGGAGTGCAGCAGACCCTCTGAGTTAGCCCTCAGCCTGTTGATTCAGCACATGCCAACCTGTGTGGAAAATGGAGCCATACTGACTTGCAGCTTGTAATAATAATCAGCCCTATATTCATTATTTCCCCATATTAACTAACATCCATACTGTGTGAAGTACAAGGGACAAACACATTTAGGATTCTCTGCAGTGGCTTGTTCCCATCTTTCTTTTTGTCCCTTTTCTATGTAGTTGCATCCCTGGCTAACAAAGTTTGGGGAGGATCCGCTGCCTCTGGAGGAAGAGCATTGCACTGTGGTGGAGGTGACTGAGGAGGAGGTGAAGAATTCCGTCAAGACAATCCCAAGCTTGCCAGCTGTAGTAAGTGTAAACAGGAGCTTTCTAAGGTTTTATGTTCCGGGAGATATGTCACTTTCTTTGGGTATGTCTACACTACAGGATTAATCCGAATTTAGATAATTCGAATTTGGGAAACAGGTTGTATAAATTCGATTGTGCGCGGCCACACTAAGCACCTTAATTCGGTTTTAAACCACATTAATTCGGTGGTGTGCGGCCACACTACCCCATTAACTTAAACACAGTAATTCGGTGGTGTGCGTCCACACTAACCCTAATTCGAATTAACAAAATCGATTTAGGCTCTACTCCGTTCGTCGAGGTGGAGTACAGAAATCGATTTAAAGGGCCCTTTAATTCGAATTAACTGGCTCTGTAGTGTGGACGGGTGAAGGGTTAATTCGGATTAAGGCAGCTAAATCCGAATTAAAGTCCTAGTGTAGACCAGGCCTTTGAGCCATCAGCCTGTGAAGTAGTCTCAACGTGAGGGATAGACAAATTTCCAGTGTATGATGTGCGTGATTTAGCCATTCAAGTCAGCAGACGTTGTTCATGCCTTTGAGCTGTGCATTCACCTCAAAAGATTTACTGGTAGCGCAACACACGGGGGGCCTGATCCTGCAGCCCTTATCCATATGAGCATTGACGTCAAAGGGGCTACTCAGATAATAGGTGCAGGGCCAAGCTCCCCAGGTGGCCAGCACCAGAGGAAGTGAATGATAGAAGAAATTCAAATTTGGGAAGACTTATTACCAGACACATAAGACTCCAGTCCCAGCGCCACCACTCCCACTGGAAAAAGGGAGAGCAGCGAACGAGAGTAAAGGGTTGTTTGCATTGTTTGCTGGGCAGCCGCCCGTGTACACAGACAAGGAAAGAAGCGGAGCTGCAAATGGCTCAGAACACCCAGCATAGGACACGCTCTGGTCGTTGTTGAGCCTATTCTCTTTGGATCAGCAATAAGGGCCTGATCAAAAGCCCATGACATCAATGGGAGTCTTTTCATTGACTTCAGTGGGCTTAGTACCAGGCTGTAGGTGCCTGTAGCAACTCAGTAGGCACTAGGCACCTCTAGAGATATAGCCCTGAGAACTGGAATCCTCTTCTCTTCCCATTTTGAAGGCAACTTAATCATATGGCATTTTCCCTCTAGAAATAAATGTGTGAAACCTTTTCTTACAAAATCTTCTATGTGATGGAATAATAAACACACTGCAAAATATTGACCTCCAGGTTTAAAATAAATAATTAAAATTACAATGGGTAGTTAAGAACTCAGCCTTTCTGCTTTAGGCATTTAAACACTGGGCTCCAGTGTCGGGAGTTGAAAGACTTGCTTCCCCTTTATGAGATGTGTCCTGGCAGGTTTAAAAATTTTTTGTTTTATGAAAGGAAAAGATGAAGTTGTAATGAAAAGGGGACACTTTACTGACTGCAAATTGAGGTTATGCTTAAGTGTGCGTGTGGTGACCAGATGTCCTGGAATTGACATATGAAGTGCAGTATTCCAGACAAATATAGGCCATGATCCAGAAAAGTCTTCCTGGCATAAAGCTAAATGCCTGCTTTTCAATTATTGAAACAAAATACTGTTAACGTATCCTCACTAATTTAAAAAGCAAAGGAAGGTAAGCCAGGTCTAAAGCCTGGTGGCTTAAGAACTTCCACACATGTGGGAGGAAAATACTAATACTGTCCCATAATTTGGGGAAAAAATACATAGACCAGAGCTACAGCTGGTGTAAATCAGTGTAGCTCCATTGGTTGGCTTCAATGGAGCTACATCAATTTACATCCGCTGAGAATCTGGCCCTACGTTTCTCTACTGATTTTTAGAATGCAATCACTGAAATATTGCAGAATTTGTGAGCCTACCTAATCACCATGAGCCAGCCACCCTGTGTCTTTTAGATAAGATTGAACTGTAAAACTTGTTCTAAGGTGGCTCATGGGTTTTCCCCCAAAGGCAGAGGGTTTCTCTTTTCCTAAAATATTTGTTAAATAGTGAAAGTCAAAATGCCAGCCTATTTGACAGCCCTGGAAACTTCGGTACTCTGTTTATCCTCGTGCATCTCCACAATATCTAAGGTCTTATACTGTGCTTATAGTGATGGTATCTGATATTCTTCAGGGAATCCTGATACCTAGAAATAGAAATAATAAGATCTGTTAGTAACAGAGATGGCCCCAGACCTAAATACCGTGCACCTGACTGGAGTTAAGGATTGGGGGCGTACAAAATCTGAACTTGAATCTGAATGTAAATTTAGTGGTTAATCCCTCTAGGGGGGATGATTGTGACAATTTCTTCACCCAGCCACTGAGGTGGTGTGGCTATTTACCTCTCCTTATTTGGGGCTAGTGATAAAACCACATTCTAACCTTTAATGACTCTCACAACTTCCGTATGAGGTAGATAAGAGAACATTATTATTTCCATTTTACAGATGGGAAAAGGGATATAAAGTGGCCAGATCCTCAGCTAGTGTAAATCAACATAGTTACATTGAAGTAAATGAAGCAAATTCATTTATGCCGACTGAGGATCTGGCCAAAGAGGTTTAAAGTGACTTCCCAAGTCACAGAGGGAGTCGTTGTCAGAGCTGGAATTAGATCTTACGAGCTCTTGGCTCCCAGTCCTGTACTCAGGCAACCAGCCTGTTCCCTTCCCTCTAGTAAATAGGTGTTGACAATATTCATATAACTGTTTCTAGGAATGCTTTGCAACTTCAGTAGCCAATGGGTCAGCATTTATACCAAATAGAAACCTAAGGGCTATTATACAGATCCCTTTAGTTCCGTTTTTAACTGTGAAATGGCATTACAATTTTATTAAATTATTAATGAAGTAATCATTACATTCCTCTGATCTAATGCTTAGAGCAGCATTATAAAGATGATGAAAACTCTGTGCCACCTATCTTCTCTGATCTGTTTTTCCTTCTTCAAAGATTTTAGTGAAGGCCATGCTAAGGAAACGCTCATTCGGAAACCCATTTGAGGTTCAGGCCAGAAGGGAAGAGAGGTCCATGTCTGCTCCAGGAAACCTATTAATGTATGTATATCTACCTCTTCTAGTGCTCAGCCTGAGCTGTATACGGCCGCTTCAATGAACAAAGTAGCGTGGGAGGAATAATGGAAACTGTTTTCAGATAATTTCCTTAGAATTTAAAGGCAAAATTCATGTGGAAATCAGTCAGTGGAGTTACACTGGGGATGAATAAGGCCTCAAGTGTCATTTGGGCTTGAAGTATAGTGAAACATCCACATTAGAACAAAGTAAACATTTCTTTGTATGGATGCAGCTCCTTCCATATTTAGGGCCACATCCTGAGCTGATGTAAATGAATGCAGCTCCGTGGACTTCAGAAGAGTTGCACCCACTTAGAGCAGCTCAGAACTATCTTTTTAGCCAGTTTGTTTATTATATACTGTGTGTAGTTTAAACAGTACTCAAACATCAAGCTAGCAAAGTATCCTTTTATGAAATTCAGCTAGGTTATTTAATTCTTATGTAAGTAGCGTCTGCTCTGCTGTCCATGAACAACAGAAGTAGGAGGTTTGGAGAAAGAGGCCAACTGAGTCATCTAGACATTAAAAAATAAAAAAGCCTGTAAAACTAGAAGCATGCTGATATATTTCAGCTCTGCTCTGGAAATCAGTGACCCATGTAGTTTGTGCAAACTGGCAAACATGCACATCCTGGACTGGAAGCCAGTGAGTGACACCTTTGACATTACGTTATTGGTATTGTGGGAACCAACAAAATGCATCATATGTGATAAACCAAGCTACAGTACATAGCATACATACATCATGCCCAAAACTCAACATCTTCCATGCTAAACAAACACCACTCTTAGCAGATTCCCAAAGATGCTGATAACTTTTTATATATATTAACTAAACTACCTAACTACATCTTTGGAAATAGTCTTTTCTCTCACCAGTGTGTAGGGATTTCAGCGGGTTGCTCTCATTAAAGATGAGGGGACTTTAGAGCCCAATCCTGTACTAATGAAGTCAGAAGCAGTTTTGCCACTGACTTCAGTTGGAGCAGGATCCAGGTAATGTGCAAATCCCCAGTAGGCAATAGAGCCTAGATCAGTTAGGCCTTGTCTACACTGCCACTTTACAGCGCTGAAACTTTCTCGCTCAGGGGTGTGAAAAAAACAACCCCCCTGAGAGATGCAAGTTTCAGCGCTGTAAAGTGGCAGTGCAGACAGTGCACCAGCACCAGTTACTCCCCTCGTGGGGGGTGGGTTTTTTTTACAGTGTTGGGAGAGCTGTCTCCCAGCACTGGTGCCGCGACTGCATAGCAGCGCTTTAACGTTGGTAGTGAAGACATACCCTCAGAGTGTTCAGACAATGTTATGCGATATAGACTGATCCTCATTAGAACTTCTCATATAGCTGGGAAGAACTGATCTTGAGGAAAAGGCATTTAACTGTAAGGATTTTTGTTTGATACTTGGGTCAGGGATATTAGCCAGGACCTTAGCCTAATTTTAACTCACAGTTCCCTATATGAGACACCCAGGCCAAGTTCCAACTCCCATACGTTTCCTTAATTAGATTTTGCACAACAGATGGTAACACAGGACCTGCCATACACTGTACTAGTCAGCTGTCTGGCGCCATCTAGCTGAGTGTCCTATAGCTCTAGCTATCTGCCCAGATCCTTACAACAGAGAGAGAGAATGACTACATCCAATTAGATACTTTTCTCCTTTGTATCCACCTCCCTTCTCCCATCTACTATGGGAGACTCTTTCAGAGGTAGGAGAGTTAAAGGACCTTGATTACCATAAAGAAGCGCTTTTGCTCTTTATATTTTATTGCCTTAACCTTTTCAGAACCAAAAGCCTGCTGTAAATCTACCTCATGATTAACCAACTGTGGATAATGAACAGCACTCCTAATCCAGAAAGGAAAGAGTTACTGCAGTCATGTTGAATTGAACCTGGCTAACAACAGAAGCACTTCTAGCCTTAGAACCTTACCTAGAACAGGTTTTTCATATCTTTTTCCCCAGGGACCCAATCCTGTGAGGTGCTGAGTGCTTCCTTTTAGGGTTCTGAGCATGCTCAAATCCCATTGAAATTTGGCCTGTAGTGAGTGCAGAGATGTACCATGCTCTCTGAGTTCTGCTGCCAGTTTCCTGAAGCTCACTGATTTTCAGTCTACAAACTGACAGTTTCAAACCAGGCTGGCAAGCGAGATGTCATCCAAGAGACTGCTCTATATGATGTGATTTTGAGCTTCAAGTACAGTCTCAGGGACATGTCAGAAGAGCATTTCAAATGTGGATACTTCATCAGCTTAGCGGGAAGAGCTAATCTTCACTTTATATAACTCTCAGACCATCTCCTTCCTTTCCTGTTACCCTATGACATTGCTACTGTCACCCATATCCTCACATAGTTCCTTGCCAGTGAGTCTCTTCACTCTATGATGTTGAGACTTTACTGAGTCTAAAGAAAAATACCAAATAGCTGTCACACCCTCCAGAGTATTTAACTCAGGGGAAGCAATGGGTGCTTTTTTTTTTAATTCAAATCTTAACCTAACTGGTATATTAGAATTTTCTCTTGTTCTCATAGATATCACTGAGATACATAGAAATAGCCATACTGGATTAGACCAGTGGTCCATTTAGTCTGTCTGACAGTAATCAGTGCCAAATGTTTAAGAGGAAGGTAGCATAAGAAACCCTTTAATAGGCAATGATAGAATAAACTACCAGTAGGAGGTGTTTCTTCCTGACCTCTTATGCCCTGAAGCATGAGAGTTTATATCCCTTCTAAAAAACTCTTTATCCAATCTGTCTGATTTTTTTTAATCTTATTAAGCTTCAGTGACAGGTTGTATACCTCTATTGTGTCCCTTTTATCTATCTCCTCTCTAAATTGAACAATTCTGGTCTTTTCAGGTCTCTTCTTGTATGGAAGCTTTTCTGCACTTCTAATCATTTTCATCCACCATGTCTGGACTTAGTTTCCTTAGTAGCCTCTTGTGTGGCACTGTGTCAAAGGCTTTTTGAAATAAATTATGTCAGCTAGTTCTCATTTATCCACTATTCTGTTGGCTTGCTCAAGGCACCTGATTTAAAATAATGAGCCTGTTCACTGATTGAATCAAAGCCAATTTGTGGTTGCACCAAAGCAAGGAAGTTTATATCTCTTCTTTAAAAAAAACAAAACTTTATCCTATCTATTGTAACCTTTGTGTGTGCAAGTGCTCCACTGTGCTGTCCTCTTACTTAATTGTACCCAATCAGCTTATGTGCTATCATGCAATCAGCATTTCTGGCACCTTCCAGTAATGTTTGATTACCCTGAACTAAGACTTGCAAAAATGGACCTTATGGACCAGCATAGGAATGTTTCTAATTAAATCAAGAGACATTGACACATCAGACAGTATTTCTTACATACAGTGATGTATTTAACACTGTAAACAGATAATTTAAAAGAATATGGATTTTTCTTTTTATACATTGTAAAAGTTAGATCAGTGCATGAATGAAAGAGATGTAAGCGTCTTATCTTTCCTTGTGTTTTGCTTCATTGCATTTAAGAAAATACAGAAAGCAAGAGACAAAGCTATTTTATGTCTATGAAATCTCTGAAGTGGGAGTGTTCATTGTACTAGGTGAATTATGTCCTGATTGCAAAGAGAAATTGTGCTAGATATTAAACCCATGCTTCATGCCATCCATTTACAATGGATTGTTCTGTATAAAATCATCTCCAATATAAAAGTAAAATAAAACATAAATGTACATGTTATGAATGGTGCCAAGTTAATTAAAATAAATCTAGTAAAGGATAACAAACTTCTAGGAGTTAACAATGTTAAATGACATTGTTACAGTATAAGGGCTTGATATTGCAAAGACTGGCCCTGATCCCACAAAGCACAACTTTAAGCACATGAGTAGTCCCACTGAAGTCATATATTACATATATTTGATTGGAGGTCATAGTCGTACTCAGTGTGCTTTAATTTAAGCATGTGCTTAAATCCTTTGCTGGGTCAAGGCCAGAGTGCTCAGCATCTTGCAGGATTAGTCCAAAGGCAATATTGTGTATGCTGCTTCGGAAGTTCACGTTCAGGGACAGTATGTGTCTTCAGAATGGTGGGATAGATTCTCAGCTGGTATAAATTGGAGTAGTTCCATTAACTTTAATGCAGCTATGCCATTGACACCAGCTGAATATTTGGCCCATTTAGTCTTTAAAACAAGTACACATAATACAGAGCAGTAAGGACTAGATTGAGGGAAGGTTATACTGTAGGGTGGCTGATCTGTTATATGCCCGCCACTATCTGCCACCTGTCTTCAGTACATACAGCATCGGCAATGATGCAGCTCTATTATCCAGATGGCCAGTGAGCTGCTCTGTATGTCCCATTTGAGCCAATATCCATGTGAGCATTTGGTTTATAAGAAAAACAAAACATGACACTTTCACCTAATGTATCTAAAGTAATTTGTACTCAGTCCTATGTAAGATTCATCTTAGTTATATGGGGATAGCTCTCATTTTAAGAATTTAACTGTTCAAACCCAATTAGTCTGCAGAAAGATAGTCAGTAACTTTGCAGGAAGTACAAATCCTTTTGACAGCACCCACACTTGATCTTCTAGTCTTGTGAAAAGTGTGATAGGATTGTAAAAGATGCAGGTGTTCAGAACTTTGGCTTTACATCTCATTGAGCAGGCAGTATCCTCAGCGTCACAGTTCCCCCTACAACCATGTGTGTGTCCAGTGGTGACTGAGAGGGAACAATACCTCCTACTGAATTACCCACATCAGTTCCTAGGAGCTCTGGGTATTGCTGAGCACACCAGCATCCACTGGACTCAATTCTGCTGTCCTCACTCAAACAAAACTCCCATGAAAGCAACATTGCAGACTTCAGGATTTGGCTCATGTTCCTCAATGGGAATTGAGAGCACTTTGCACGATCTAATAGTGAGCCTCTGTGTGCTGACAACACACTGGAAACCAAAGTGCAACCTGTGTCACCTTTATTATATTAAAGGTATCTCTATTATATTAATGAAGCAAACAGATTTTAAAAAAATCCCAACACTGTTTTTCCACAGCCCTGACTGTACTGTCCTTGAAGTGTGGTAAATCAGTGATTGTAATGTTGCATTTAGTTCCAATTATAGGAAGGAAAATTACTTTCATGTTCCTATATAGGAAAAAAGAAAAGCAATTAGAAAACTTTCCCAATTTCACATTCAATTTGTGTAATTAGGCTGCTTGTAAAATAGTTGGGGGTTTTCTAAGCTATATGCACTGGGTGCTGCTGAAGTCAACTTGCATCTGCGCCAATGTCAAGAATCTTCCTGCAATAAGCCTTTTGACAGCTGAGTTAGCTTTTCAATATCTGGTGCCTAATTAACATTTCTGAAAAGGGATCTGCCCTTTAAAAAAAGAGAGGAAGATGCCAATTTAACAGCCTACTTATTGGGTTTCTTAGGTTGGAAGCTGCCTGACTTAATTAATTTCTTCACGATCCTTCTACTACCTGCTCACAATATGCCAAGCTCTATTCTGGGAAATGCTTAGGGAAGAAGATGCAGATCAAAGTTCTTTGCAATAGCAGGAGGCCTTTCATAGCTGTTACAGATTTTGGTCCTTAAATGGCCCTGTTTAAAAATAGTTTTTAAATTCATGGGGAGGGCTTAAATTCTTCAATTCTTGTAACATTTTGAAAAATCCTTTCTTGTTTGTTATTTATTTCTTTACTTAGATGTCTAGAAATGTTTAAAGGGCACCTATGCTTAGGTATTTGGCAATATATTACAATTGAATGGAGCTAAAATGAAGACGGCTGTTTTTAGCAACACTATTTATATAGCTTCTGCCTCAGGCAAAAGTACCACTGTACACCTACATCACTGATTGAGCTTGGAACTGTGTTTAACTGCTGCTATGGGTCACAAAACACTGTGAGGCTGATCTCCTGGCTCTCACTTTGGTCCCTACATGCTGCTCCAGTGCACAGGCAGCACAGAGAAGACTGCCATAAGATAGAGCAGCCCTGAAGGCTGCTCTGACTTATGCTGGGGGGGGGGAGGTCATTTTGGTCACAGCAGCAGCTTCCTGGAATCTGAGCAGCTCAGAGGTAGTGTAAAGCCATCTGTATCTCCCCTCTGGGCTGTTCTGTCTGTGCAGAGTCTCTCAGGAGATCTGCCCTGAATCTGACCCTTCGTTTTTTTAGATCCTACATGCTATGGGCCAAATTCAACTATGATGTACCGATTACTTCAGTGGAGCTACATTAGGGATGGATTCGGTCTCTTGCTTTTAAATTTCCCAGTCACTGAATACAGGTTTTTAAAAATCCCAAATGTTCAGGATTCTCAGTTAGCTTCCATTGTATACATCTTTATTATAGGTGTGTAGGTTCCCCACCTGAACCAGATTCCTCTCATTAATGCAGCCATAATTTCACTGCATTTATTACTCTCATTTATTGCTGCTAACACATCTCAAATTAACTGAAAGATGTTTTGGCAGATCCACTATACTTGCACATTAAGCACTGCTTTGCTGTTGGTAAAAGGTGGTTTTCAGCTACCGTATACATGGGATTATTCTTCTTATTTACAGAACTTGATCCTGTTCCCACTGAGAGATCAGATCACAAGGTCCATGCCCTGAGGAGCTTACAGTCTAAATAGAGAAGGCACAGACAGGGGATGAGGGCAGCAAGATGCAAAGTGACCAGTGAAGCGGGGTGCTCAAACAATCTGTGGAGTGGGGGTGATGAGAGCCATTGAACCAAACTGTAAACCCTGTATATAATAGACACCACTTTAAGCCAGGGGGTGTGGCAGTATCCCCAGCACCCATAGTTCCAGCACCTATGCAGTGAGGTTATGAAATAGCTGTAGCTTTTCATCTGAGAGTCGCTGGTTCAAACAGGGCCAGTTTAGCCATGACTGACTGGTGGCTTTTTGGTCATGTGTTAATGAGTTAGCAGACTCAGTTTAGTTCTTGTTAACAGGGATCCATGTCACCACAAAAAGTTGTCGGGTTTATTGACAGTCTCAGCAGAGTCCAAGGACTGAATAGCCCAGGACCTGTTCTCTCCATGAGCGGCTGGTGACCCCGCCGCCCGGGAAACCTAACCACCAGCCCCTCCCCTTGTGCCCGAGGCCCCACCCCTCCCTTTCTAACTCCCCCTCCCCCACAGGAGCCCAAAGCACCCCCACCGTGGCCCCCCAGCGCCGGACGGCCAGGGGTGGGGGACCAAGGCCCCAGCCCCGGTGCGCCGCAGCCTGAGCACCTCCAGCCCGTGGGTGGCGCGGCCACAGCGCCCCCAGTCCCGGTGCTGCAGGTGGCCAGGCAGCGCGGTCGCCGCACCCCCAGGCCTGGGGCTCCGGGCAGCACGATCGCTGTGCCCCCAGCCCTTTATTGTTGATGGTATTGGCAGGAGACTGGCTGCAGAAAGGATGCCAAGTTTGACTTCACCCTTCATTTCACAAAATATGTGTTTAAGTGGTACATCTACACAGCAAAAAAAACACCCCTGCAGTAAGTCTCAGAGCCCGGGTCATGCAGTAAGTCTCAGGGTCCAGGTCAATTGACTTGGGCTCATGGGGCTTGCGCTTGGGGCTAAAAATATCAGTGTAGATGTTTGGGCTCAGGCTGGAGCCTGGGCTCTGAGAATGAGGGGGAAGGTCTTGGAGCCCAGGCACCAGCCTGAGCCCAAACGTGTACACATTGTCAATGGAAAATCCTGTCCAGGTAAATTTCACACTCATATGTTTTTCATTGCAAGGGAAGGATGAGTGCTTTTATTAAAAGCTATGGCTCATATTGTGGCAAGGGTAAGTATTATTATAGTCTAACTAATGGTTTATAGAATAACTTCGGCATAGAATTTCACAACATCTTGTTACTCTAGAAGCATCACATGCAGAAGCACCCATCATCTACTCAGTGGTTTAATTGCCTAACTCCTGCTCAACTTGTGTCCTTCGGCAGTTAATAACACGACACGTTCATAAGACTTCTACATGCTAGGGACACAGACCCGTATGCTGCTGAACACCCTCAATTCCCACTGATTTCAGTAGGTGTTGATGGCACTGAACAGCTTGCTGGAAGCAACTGGCACCCTGCAGGATCAGTTGTGTTAGCACAGGTGATTACTCCAGTATGCACAGCACTGCAGTATGGGTGGCAGCATTAACTGTCATGGTTTTTTATTTGGTCTTTAGCCTTAGTAAACATTGCTGACTAATACCCCATCCTCTATTTAATTTCATTCCCTTAATATTCAGAAACGTGCTCATTTGCCTTTTGCCAGCATCTTCTTTACCATTTTCTTCCTTTATCTCATTGTTTGCCCTTAGGGACAGGTTCCTCTTAAGCTCATCTGTATATTTGCATCCATCTTTAAGGTAAATGTGTGTTTGTGTTTCCCCTGGGTGCAGTAGAATTATAAGTCCTCTCTTCAGTTGTCATGCTTTCTGTGTTATTGAAAACATAAAATTCCATCCTTCATATAGGAGCAGTTTTGTTACAGTAGTTATGTAGTTTGTTACAGTATTTGTGTGTGTGTGTGACACTAACATTCATTCTCTAAGTTACTTGAGATTTTTCTTGGTCATGTTTCCTCACTCTTCTTTTTTTCTTTTGGGAAGGATGGGAGAGGGAGACTTGGAGTACGTCTACACTTACCGGAGGGTCCGGCGGCAGGCAATCGATGTTCTGGGATCGATTTATCGCGTCTGGTTTAGACGCGATAAATCGATACCGGAAGTGCTCGCCGTCGACGCCGGTACTCCAGCTCGGCGAGAGGAGTACGCGGCATCGACGGGGGAGCCTTCCTGCCGCGTCTGGACCCGCGGTAAGTTCGGACTAAGGTACTTTGAATTCAGCTACTTTATTAATGTAGCTGAATTTGCGTACCTTAGTCCGAAGTGGGGGGGTAGTGTGGACCAGGCCTTGGTAAGTTTTAGCAGAGATGGGGCTTAATCCAAAATCCTAGATCCAATACCCACAAAATTTGGGAATCAGATCTGAACTTGCAGCTCAGGCCCATCTCTAATATTTAGAACTTATGAAAGATTAATAGATGTGGCTACAACCAAATATGCAGCAGGCAATTCTACCAATACCTCTACTCTTCAAGTTTCTGGGACTCTGCTGTGATGAGTTGGGGATTGGTCCTGCTTTGAGCAGGGGGTTGGACTAGATGACCTCCTGAGGTCCCATCCAACCGTGATATTCTATGCTTCTATGACTGATATGGACAAAACCTCTTGGTCTACATTTCAACATTCCCCATATCCATCAGGACTTAAGCAGACAGCATGCATATTTTGCAACAGATTCCACAGATCTGTCCACAAAGTATGCTGTCCAATTTAAAACAACAACAACAACAACAAAATAATGTAGTTAATGTAAACCATTAGAGATGATTAAAAAAAGACATCTCAGTGCAAAATCCCACTGTGCACAGCCAGCTCAAAGCACAGTTATTCTGCCTTGAGTTTGACAGAGATGGTTTCAGATGAATGCTTGGAAATTAATCATGTCTCTTGAAATTCCATTTGAGCAGCTCCATTATTGTGGAGACAATTGTTTACTTAGGAGCTCATTTATCACTGTAAAATAAATAGATGAATCAAACTAGGGACACCTCCTGCTGCAAGAGTGAAGGATTTTGAAAAGATTCTCCAAAAGTACTGGGAAGGAACTGAGCAGAATAAAGGCTGATGTCGCACTTCTATTGGCATTTGGGTTGTGATACATGGGACTGTTTTTTCAATTTTGAAAAAAGAGAAAGTTTTAGTGTAAGTAATAGTCTTTTCCACTTGGATGTACAGTTCAGGAATTCATAGACAGGTCCACTGAAGTCAAAGGAAGTTTTGCACTTATGATGACTTAAAAGACCATGCTCAGAAAATCAAGCTCAGGAGAAACCCCCTGTATCAGCATCCGTTAAGGCTAGAGAGATGTAATAAAATACAAAAGTTCACCACTTGGCCCGTGATACTTGGTTTCAGCCACAGCCTCCTGTTTAGCCCTAACAGCAGCATATGCATGGTCTCCCAGTAAGGGCATGACTGAGGCATGTCTACGTTGGAAATTCACCCTGATTCCAGCCATCTGTGGCCAGTTGGCTCCATTGAAGCGTACCCTGGTTTCAAGTGCGGGTAACCTCAATCTGTGCAAATTGAGGGTTATCTTGCCAACACTTATTTTGCACTGATACAGATACTGCAATGGCTGGCCAGAGATGGCTGGAACTAAAACAAATTGCCAGTGCAGACAATGCTTGGGTTTTGGAATGAATAACACAGCCTGGTGCAAATGAAACCTGTGATTGATTCCTGATGAATAGACCTCAGAGGTGCAACAAACTGTTCACAAGAGAGATGCTGCCATTGTTCTGAAGCAATTTTTCTTTAAATACATAGGACCAAATTCTCTTCTCAGATACCCAGGCACAACTCCTGGCTGCTTCATTCTCATGGACATTCTGCCTTCATTCCCACAGAAGTCAATGGGAGTTCCAAGTGCATAAATGAGGACAGATATTGGCCCATAGTGAAGGCATAGATGGCATTAGGAAAGAATTCTTATCAGTTAACAGGACAGAGCATGAGTGAGCTATGACTGAACATGAGACTAGGAGCCATGACTCAAATACTGATTTGTTGTCTCTTTGCCTCTCTATCCTAATTTTACTATCTGTTATGTTGTGAAGCTTGCGCCATTAATGTACAAAAATTGCTAGTTGAGTGCCATGTGTTATTACCACTATTAACAATGGTCTCAACAGTGCAGCATGTTGGATAACCACACAGAGCAAGGTTCATTAGCCTGCTATTAACAAAAGTAACACAAATACAAAATAACACCTTAAGAAAAGCTATTTAATGGAGACTAGCATTTAGCCTCAGTCCTCTCAGCATGTACTCATGTCTCCTATGTGGCAGCACAGACCGCAGACTACTTACTGCAAGATCACCCCAGCTGTCTGTAGAAAATGAATTTAGTTGATATTCAGTATTGTATTGAATGTTTTGTCAATTTATGCTGTATTGCACCCATTCCACATCCTGTGGATCACATTGCCTTTAATGCTAAAACAAGGTGTACAGACAGGTATCAGCTACTGAGAATTACAGGGAAACATTTAATCTGATTCATCAAATTGCAGACAGTAGCAAATAATACAAAATGACAGCAGGCTCTAAATAACCAGTGAGACACCATCTGCTGCTGAATTATGCTTGCTGTTATCCCACTGCACAGACCTGCTTGCATTATATCTGATAATGAAACCTCCTTTCCTGTTCACGGTAATAAATCATTTAAAGAGGGTGATGACAGCCCCTGAATTAACTCAGATCAGCCACTAAAGACGGATCTGTTACTCAGCATGTTGGTGTCAGGCCTGAAAGTGCATTGGGAAATGGTCATTTGTCTATATTCAAGGTCAGGTTTATCACCTGGGCTGTGATGGTGCACTTAGGAATGGAATTATGCTTAATGGCAACCATTCTTTTTTCTGTTTCACTCTTTAAAATAAAGGAACGCTTATGTCTGAGCTGTGATACAACTTCAAACTAAATGATAAGGTGTGATGTCCAAAAAAATTTCACCTGACCAGTTTTAAGAGTTGACTAGCCTTGCTACCTCTCCTAGGCTGTCTTCACTGCAGAGTTAACTCAAGTTACCTACATTCTAGTTACTTCCTCTCAAGTTAGCCTAGCTCGGGTGAGAGCAGACATATTGTGAAATAACACTCGAGCCACAAAGTGTGATTGTATTAGCAGCAAAGTGATTGTGTTAGCACTTGACAAGTTGCACTAACTTGAGCTGGAGTCTTTACCACTTGACAGGCTTGCCAACTGTTCTTCCAGTATAAGGTGCATCTCCAATAGAACGATGTGTTAGTATAGCTATACCAGTATACCTATACCAGCAAACCTTTCTAGTGTAGACAAGGCCTTAAAAGCACCACCACAGTTGAGTTAAGGGGTTTTGTGTGTGGATGGGACTCAAGTAGGGGCAACACTCAAGTTGGCTTTGCAGTTGAGACAAGCCATCAGTCTCTTGAATCTGCAAGAGAGGAAGTTGAAATTTAGGAGCATTCTGAAAAGGCTGAAGACTTTGTGGAGTAAAACAAATATAAGTAAGTTACCTTCAGTTTGGTTTAGTGGCTAATACTGAGCAAGTTTTGCTTAGACTTTTTCAATAAATTATCAGAAATTGGAAACTGAAAATTTTTGGTAAAACTTTTGAATTATCAGGAACAATTTTGAGTTTTTGTAAAAATGTTCAGCTTTTGGTGTAGTTTTCAGTAAATATTTTCAGTTTTTGGATTTCAAAATCAAAAATTTTTTATTGAAAACCTATTTTTTTCTTTAAAACATTTTAAAAACTAATAGTTTGGGTTTTTCTTGGAAAAGCTGAAAAAAGTGGGAAATTTTTTGGGGAAAAAATTATATAATTGGCATTTTAATCAGCTGCCGTGTGCAGTTGAGCTTTGGAAAAAGGGTTGCAGGTGTCAAACCATAAAATCAGTGAAACAAGTAGATTTTAAAAATATAAGCCAAATAAACTTATAAACATTGCTGCCTTTCTGTATGTCTGTTTCTGAGACTTAAATCTCTTGTACTAGTGCAATAAAAGGGAGTTGAGAATGTATTTTGACAAAGTAAGCAGCTGTAGCCTCATGATACAAAGTCTTATAATACTTGAGTGATCAGTGCACTGATGTTGATGCATTTTTCTTTATCACAGTTTAACTGTTTACATGGTATACTTCTTAAGGAAATACAGTTTTGTTTGAACGTCATCCTTCATATAGTTATTGATGTTATTGGTTTGGCTTGCCTATTGGAGAAAACTACCTGGTCTAAATGCCTGTTTCTAATTATTTACTTCCCTTCATTCATTCCTGTAGAAAGCAAGGGAGCAGAGAAGGAATAAAGGACCCTGATCTCCCTGACGTCTGTGAAGATGAGGCTACTTTTTGAAGCCATGTGCATGTCCTGGATTGGTTATTTACTCCTGTTGTAACCATTGTGTTGTGTCGCACACATTCTGCTCTCATGAACCAAAGTTTGTGACCTGAAAAACTGAAATTGAAAAGAGGAAACAGCCAACAACAACTAACAGTGCAAGTTCTTTGGAAATGGTTTACTCATGGAATGCTATGTTGTATTACTCATTGGCTTCATTCAACATGTAAGATGTTTCTCTGTATTTGACATGTGCCTCATTCTCCATTTGTGCTTCAGCCTACGTTGTGTGGTCATTATCGTCTGGTATCTTGACCAATGAATGTCTTTTTATTTATAATTCAAAGAACCAAACTTTATCTAATAGGGTACTTGCCATCAAGATGTTTCCCAGCTTTTTGCATTCTGCATTCAAAGTACCAAGAAAAAAGATATGCAGTAACCAGGTCTCCTGTCTTAGGTTAACTTTTATTTATTAATCAAGCACTTAAATTTACTGGGGAACAGTCTTACTTCTGCTGAAGTCAATGGCAAAATTCCTGTTGACTTCTGTTAAAGTAGGATGAGATCTTCCACTGTGTAATTCTTTGTGCTTTTCGTTTTTTCTTATTTTTGCATTATATAGCTCCTTTTAACATATAGGGCCACATTAGAGTCATTTTAGTACAATATTGGACATATACGGTATTGCCACCCATCTGCATTGAGCTTTTGAGTGTTCCAGAACAGTTAAAGGCCTTGATATTCATCTGAATATGATGGTTTAGTGCACCAAGAGCATTTGCTTAGAGAGTGTACTTAGTGTGACCAGATAGCAAGTGTGAAAAATCGGGACACGGGATGGGGGGTAATAGGAGCCCATATAAAAAAAGCCCAAAATATCGGGACTGTCCCTATAAAATCGGGACATCTGGTCACCCTAAGTGTACTTGCTTATAGAGTCTACTGTTCCCAGAGGGCTGGGATTTGATTCCATTCGTGTGCTAATGTGTGGACAGGAATTTGTATTTACAGATCTGAAAGCATGAGACAATGGATTTTATTTGTCACTTAAGGCAATCTGATTCTCCTTTCCCACTCACCTCCCAGTCCCCCCATAAGAGAGAGACAGTATGTGTGTTTGATTATAGCTTGAGTTTTTTACCTAACTGTTGTTTACTGGTGAATGCCCTGAAATAGGACATTTTCCTATAAGAGAGTATGTTAGTATATGATTCTTAGAGGTTAAGCAAGAGACCCAGAAAAGCTACAAGACAAAAGTTGAGTTAAATTAAACTCATTTGTGTAGCATTTCAATACTTTAGGTTTTATGCACTTAGTCCTTTGCTGTGGCATGCTGCTGTAACATCCCCAATATGGTTTTAATAATATGCATGAATCTTCAGTGTTGTCAAATTAGGAGGTCAGAGATTTGTTTGGCATCCCAAGTCAGCAGCAATGGAGGCTGAAACCACTACAAAAGTAGTTATGTCATGTCCTAGGTTATGTCCTGCTGCAGTTCCACAGGAGAGAAAGAATAGCTGCCAGTAGGAGTTCTGAGATGAGATTGTCATGTTGCACAGCTATAAATTTGGAGTAATTCATTCACTTCAATGGAGTTACTTCAGATTTACATTAGGGTTGCTGTGTTTAGTCTCTCAGGCAAGTACAAAGGTGTGTGCACACCTCTATAGGTGTGCTTCTTGTCCTATCCTCAGAGGTTAAGAACAACAATTTTTCTCCCTTCTCTATGTAACAACCTTGTATGTATTTGAAAACTGTTATCATGTCCCCTTCTCAGTCTTCTCTTCTCCAAACTAAACAAACCCAATTTTTTAAATCTTCCCTCATAGGTCATGTTTTCTAGACCTTTAATAATTTTGTTGCTCTTCTCTGGACTTTCTCCCATTTGTCGACATCTTTCCTGAAATGTGGTGCCCAGAACTGGACACAATACTCCTGTTGAGATCTAATCAGCACAGAGTAGAGTGGAAGAATTACTTCTCGCATCTTGCTTACAAGACTCCTGCTAATACATCCCAGAATTATGTTCACTTTTTTTGCAACAGTGTTACACTGTTGACTCATTTAGTTTTTGGTCCACTATGACCCCCAGATCCCTTTCCGCAGTCAGGGCCGGCTCCAGGGTTTTGGCCGCCTCAAGCAGCCAAACAAACAAACAAACAAAAACCGCGATCACGATCTGTGGCGGCAATTCGGCGGGAGGTCCTTCGCTCCTAAATGGACACAAGTCAGATATCAGGAATGGCAGTATACAAAAACCTGTAGGAGAACACTTCAACCTCCCTGGCCACACAATAGCAGATGTAAAGGTAGCCATCTTACAGCAAAAAAACTTCAGGACCAGACTCCAAAGAGAAACTGCTGAGCTCCAGTTCATTTGCAAATTTGACACCATCAGATCAGGATTAAACAAAGACTGTGAATGGCTAGCCAACTACAGAAGCAGTTTCTCCTCCCTTGGTGTTCACACCTCAACTGCTAGCAGAGCACCTCACCCTCCCTGATTGAACTAACCTCGTTATCTCCATACTGATTTATACCTGCCTCTGGAAATTTCCATTACTTGCATCTGAAGAAGTGAGGTTCTTACCCACGAAAGCTTATGCTCCCAATACTTCTGTTAGTCTTAAAGGTGCCACAGGACCCTCTGTTGCTTTTTACAGATTCAGACTAACACGGCTACCCCTCTGATACTTGAATATTATGGAGCATTATTTCTCAGCAGAGGTATTCTCCTAGAGTTCACTTGGGCTCTAGCCTTGTCTATAGTCAAAGTTGCAGTGGTTTTAACTGAGGTGCGACTTTAAATCATTTAATTATACGGGTGCCAAAAACCTTAGTGGACACTCTGAATTCAATTTTATACTTAGTTTATATCAATAAACTTAATAAGGAAGTTAACTTTGAATATAGCACCTGACGTCTATCTACACTAAGGAAATCTTCCAGTTCAGCTTCAGTGGTGTTAGCTGATTTGGGGGATGAGAATTCAGATTATTTCTTAAACTAATGGATTTATAGTTCAATAACTATCCATTTTGAAATTATGGAGGAGATTTTTCAAAGGACTCCAGTGGAGTTATGCACTCAATTTCCAGTGGGATTTGGGAACCTAACTCCTTTAGGACTGCTTTGAAAATCCCAGCCTCAATTAATAAAACAAATCAAAATCTTAATATTTTTGGGAAGAGTAGGCTTTCTGTACTATTTCTTTAGCTATAGGACACTGTGTTGCTTTTATAGTCTTTTAATCTTTTAAATTCTCCCCAAAGTTGTTTTTAGAAAATGTTCAATGTTCCTTTAAAAAAAAAACATAATAGACCTGTTTCTTCCAATCCAGACAAAAATGAATTCTGCTTCAGAGACTTTGTCATCTCTGGCTTTCAGCCCAAGATTTCTTTTCCTTTAGATGACAAGAAATCATCCTAATTCTATCACACAAAGCAATCTTAAAATCTGCACACAGTTCAAAAAGGGGAAATTATGGTAGCATCAAAAGAAGTCTAATGATTTCTCTGCATGTCTAGAGGGAATGCTGTGAAACGACATTCCACTTCTGTCATCCTATCAGAGTGAAATGTACCACATGTTTGCAGCAGTGTTAGTGTAGCTTGGAGCAATAGTGCCTTTCTACTATGGGACAGGAGCAGATTAAAGGATATAAAATTTATTTATTTTTCAAATTAGCCTTTCATCTTTGACAATCCAGCCCTATCCAGAATGGATGAAAATCATTCTCTTTACATAAATATCGGGCATTGGGATGTTCTGCAGAGCAGGGGGGAGGACTGGAATAGTCAGTCTCTGATGTCTTTGTGCAATCCCTACATTTTGTATTCAAAATCCTCCACCACCATTTATATACTAGACAGCACTGTTTCTGCTGTAAGGGTATGCTGCAGCTAGGGTGACCAGATGTCCTGATTTTATAGGGACTGTCCCGATTTTGGGGTCTTTTTCGTATATAGACTCCTATTACCTCCCACCCCCTGTCCCGATTTTTCACACTTGCTCTCTGGTCACCCTACCTGCAGAAGAGGGTGCCTGTATTAATCAAAATGTGTGTTCTCAAGTCCACATCTGTGAGAAACACCTCTAACAGTTTTTTGTAAAGCAAATGGTTATTTGTCACTTCTTATAACTTAGTCCAAGTTGTAATTAAGTTATGTCTAATTTGAGAAGCCTTCAAAGAAATTTCTCTTGTGGAGAAATAACACACTTTTTAATCTGCATGAAGTACATTTTTTAAAAAATGATTAATAGATCTGAGCTCTTAGCTTGAGAGATAACTCTTGGTAAAGTTTGTCAAGTCTGTTAGCAAGGACAGCCATATTAGAGATCTTTATCATTTTGGGTGGAAGTATTTCAATACGAACACGACACTTAAAAAAAAAAACCAAATTCCCATTGTTTTAAGATGCTTATCATTACATTGTAGAGTCTGAGTGAAGCATGTACAGTGACGCTTAATGTTTATAACACCATCTCATCCCACTATGCATGTGTACTATAGCTGCTGTTGTGCCGTGGTTTCCTGGCCACTTGTCTGTGATCAAGAATAATGTGTATTTGCTGGTAATTGTGTCATATCTGCATGATTGCACCTTTGAGCAGCAAAGGTCTATAAAAACACCAAGCAAATCAGCCATGTTAGATTTTGCCAGTTGTCTTTCAGACTGCTGGAGACTTTGACAGTGCAAAGTAAAGAAACAGACATTTACAGTATAGCCTTTCCAGTTTGAGTCACATAATCAGCTCCTATAATTGTTGTCTACAAGAGAATTTAGTGCACATGCAGCATTAATCATGACTTTAGATTTAGATTTTTCTATGGTTCTTTTCAGTGTCTTGAGATTTTTGAAATAAACAAAAATCCTCTCTTTTGTAGGTTAAAAAGATAATGAATCAGGTGCCACAAAGATCTCTGTAAGACTCACGTGTTTATTTACCATATATAATATATAAAGCATAATTTGAAAAGTGGCTAACATTAATAACACGTTCACAGATTT